CCATATATTTGGAGCTGTGGCATGAATATAGATCTATTTGTATCTGCAAATAGTACACATCTTTATACCTCAAAATATGCCTACTAGATGACACGTCTAATTTGAAACTATTTAAAAAGTCTTCAGTTAATCCAAAATTCTGCTGCCAGAGTCCTAACTGGAGTTAGTAGGAGAGATCATAGTTCTCCAGTTGTAGCTTCTCTCCATTGGCTCCCTGTCAAATTCAAAATCTTACTTCTAACCTACAAAGCCCTCAACAACCTAGCTCCATCTTATATTACAGATCTTATTGTCCCATATTTTCCTAACAGAGCATTTCGCTCTCAGACTGCAGGCTTACTTGCAGTTCCTAGAGTTTCCAAGAGCAGAATGGGAGTGAGATCTTCCAGTTATCAGGCTCCTCTCTTGTGGAACCAACTTCCAGTTTCTGTCCATGAGACTGACACATTGTCCAGTTTTAAGACTTTCCTTTTTGATAAATCCTATAGTTAGTGTTGGCTTGTTATGCTGCCGTAGGCTTAGACTACTGGAGGACAAATTGACCTAATTTCCTTAATTGTTAAAATTGAATAGTTTTCATTTGATAATATTTCTATGTTAACATGTGATTCTTGACCTGCCATTGTGTATCTGTTCCTCCTTCCTGTTCCTATCAAACCCAGTCGGTTGAAGCAGATGGCCGCTTGTCCTGAGCCTGGTTCTGCTAAAGGCTTTTTCTTCATGAGGGAGTTTTTCCTTTCCACTGTCGCCTTCGTGCTGGTTCAAGATGAAAGTTTGCGATGAAGTTAAACTCAAAGCAGTCTGCTTCTCAGATAAATAATGTTAGCTTGCTTTTTTTATATATGAACGCTTCTGTTCAGTGTCCTGAGATGACTTCTGTTGTGAATTGGTGCTAACGTGGTTTTGATGTTTTGTGTTGCGGCAGGAGTTGCACGACTACGGTGGTGGGATTCCCAATGAACTGGTGGTGATGCTGGAGCGATGCGACGGCCTGAACGCTCGCTGGCCGGGACTACTTCCTGATGCCT